CACATGTTGTACATTACATGGTCCATACCCCTGCACCTTGTCCCCAAGCTGGAAGTGTTGGAGTTCCTCTTTGTGCCATCAACCAAGTATGAGGAGAGCCAGACATGGATCTGCCCGACCTCGGCACACGCGGTGCGGCTCTGTCACTGTGTGTGTATTTCCTGTCCACTGACATGAGAGGTGTCCGGGCACAGAGCGCAGTACAAAGCTGACAGGAAGTTCCCCTCTATTACAAACACTGACCACACACATCATAAATACATCGCACGGTGTCAGGGAATGGAGATCATTTATTATCAGAGCAGACATTAAATCATTTCCTGATCCATCCATCCAGTGATACAACGACCTCTGCTGGCTGTGAGGAGGTACTGCATGGAATCGGAGCTACGGCTCCTGTCATTGGAGGAGAGGCTACAGGTGAAGACATTATATCTGATTGTATTGTCATTAGTCTCTGGTAATAACCCCCCCCAAAGATGTATGGGACAACGTCAGTCCATGTCTCCCCCCCAGAAGATGTATGGGACATGGGGGGGGGGGATAATTGGGGGTGATTTGGTCACCATCCTGTAGTTTGGATCATGATGGGATGGCATTGAACCAGCTGTACTCTTTCTGGGGGTCTACTACCTGCTGAAGAACCACAAATCCCAGCATATGTCATAGTACTGATTGTTGATGTCTCCTGGAAGGGGGTGGGGTTGTCTCTAACTTCTGATCCGTACCCAGGACTTGTAGACACTGAAGGCAGCGTGGAGGGGCTCGATGAAGGTGGCGGAGAAGGTGTGGAGGTGCCGGATGGGGTCACATAGCTCATAGAAGGACAGTTGCCCGGCCTCGTAATCCAGGTAGATCCCCAGTAACTGGCAGGAAACCGTGTGGGGTAACTGGATCCACTTGCCGTCATGTATGACGGAATATTGGACATTATCGTATCTCCGCAGACACCAAGACTTGTCGTTATCCCCGATCCATGACTGGCGCCCCTTCCTGTTAATAGTAGGGTAACTCACCCCTAGGAACCACACCCCGGAATCGCTGGTCTCCACCTCCCAGTAATGTCGCCCAGCAGAGAAGCTTCTTGTGCTCAGGACTTGATCATACTGGAACCTCCCCGGCATATCGGAGCGGTCCTGGTCCACGTGTGACCAGGTTGCTGTTTTCAGGTCTCCGGATATGTGTACGTCGTTCCCGGCGCTGTTCATGTCCAGTAATATGTCTGTCGTCCCCTGCAGATTGATCCTTTTCCTCACGTTGGTCACTATACTGGACAGACCTGTGTGTAGGGTGACGGAGATCAGCCCCTCGTCCAGGCCTCGCTTCCATATCTGTTTGTAATATCTCTCCCTGCTGTCGTTCTCTGCTTCCGCCACGCCGCGAAACGCGTCGCTCTCCGACTCCTCCTCTTGTATGACCATGAAGGAATCCGCCATATTGCACAGCTCCTCCAGGTGCTGGATCTTGCTGGACAGCTCCTCCTTCTTCACCTCCATCTGCTGGACCAGGCTGGAGACCGAGAGAGAGACCTGCTCCTCCTGCCTGGAGATCTCAGCCAGGACTCTCTTTTCTAAGGTGTCCACCTGCCTGCGGATGTCTCTGAACAGGGCGGCGACTCTGTCCGTCACCTCGGCTGCTTTCCCGTGAGCCTCCTTCTTGCGCTCCTGCCCGCTCTTGACCCTTTTCTCGGTCTCCTCGCTCTTTGAGGTCCAGCTTTCCAGGAGATGCCTCAGCCGCTCCTTCTTCTTGCCGGAGACGGCGTCAAACGTTTCCACGTGGTGGCCCTGGTGGGCCCCGAAGAGCAGGCAGGACACGCAGATGCAGGTATGGTCCTCCGTGCAGTAATACTCCAGGATCTTCTTGTGGGCGGAGCATTTGCGGTTGGCTAAGTGAGCGGTGGGCTCCAGGAGGATGTGCTCGGGCGACTTGCTGTGGACTTTCAGGTGGACGTCGCACAGAGAAGCTTCGCACATCAGACACGACTTCACGGCTGCTACCGGAGTGCCGACGCAGTAAGTGCACAGGATGCCGCTCTGCTCGGCGTGAGAACCGTGCGAGAACTCGGACCTGCTCAGGAGGCTGGCGGTCCTCTGCGTGGCGTGGTGCTCGTGACACGTGGTGCTCGTGACTCCGGGGCCCTTCTGGGTGTCCAGCACGCAGTCGATGCAGACCCAGCAGAAGTTGTGTTCACATTTCAGCTTCACGGGATCCTGGCTGGTGTTCCGGCAGTTGGAGCAGACGAGTTTCTCCTCGGTGTCGGCGGACGCCATGGCGGCGGGAGTGGCAGAGAGTCGGCAGAGAGCTCTTATCTGGTGCTTTCCATCAGGTGGACTTTACCTTGTTTGTATAATGAGAGGCGAGCTCCACCTTCGGTCCACTTCATGTTGTTGTGGTAATATTTCCTCTCGTCGTCCCGGGAGACCGAGATACCGAGATAAGGTCATAAAGGAGCCGCATCATCGCTGCCAAGCTGATTACAGGTGAGGAACGCGGATGAATCTGATTACAGGTGAGGAACGCGGATGAATCTGATCACAGGTGAGGAACGCGGATGAATCTGATCACAGGTGAGGAACGCGGATGAATCTGATCACAGGTGAGGAACACGGATGAATCTGATGACAGATTGCGCCGAGAGAAGACCCTTTAACACCCAACACAGAGGCCAGTATGAGCCCCCCCCCCACACGAAATGTAAATTGTTTCGGCAGGATAGGTTGCAGGTTATGTCCTTTGTCTTGCCCCCCTCCTGATAAAGCGCCCAAGGCGGCTGCCTCTTCTGCCTAAGGCCCGGCCCGATCTATTGCTGGTGGCCTTAGGCAGTTGCCTGTGTGCCTTTCACTCCCTGTGCATAGAGTATATACAGCTTGAGATCAGGATGTAGAGAATGCGTTCGTTGACATCTAGAACCTTCCTTCTTCTTGTGATCTTTATTCTGAGTTGTTTGTTTCCATCCTTCAGGTGACTGGTCGCCATTCGTTGCCTCCATGATGACGAGATCGGAAGACCTGATGATGAGCAATGTTAAATGAACGTTCAAATAGAATTGTAACAGTTTATGTTTAGTCCAATATTGTAGCCATCCTGAAGATCTGTATGGGAAATACACCCCGCCTCCCCCACCCCCCCATGGGGGGGCCGACGTTCCCCAACTCCATCCAGCCACCAAGAAAAACAGGGTTTTGGTTTGATTGATGTTCAGTCCCATGTGACACCTCTCACCTGTGTGTTCACTTTTGTATTTCTGAATATACAATCACCATGTATGACACCAACAAGGAATTGTGCCGCAACGCCACTTACTACGACTACGCGTCCACCTGGAGGGGGCACAATACGGTAAGCGCTGGTTGTCTGGGGGGTCAGATGTTGGGGGGTGGGGGGAGGTCAGTCAGCATAGAAGGGATTGTGAACTCATTGTTGGTGTTTCTTCCAGGAATATGTCGCACTTTGTGTCTAACGAGGACGACTTGGTGGTGACGGCGATTCGGGGTACGTCCTGCGGATTCAGAATAACGCCTCTCTGGTAGTAGCGTTGTATATGCGGCATGAAGTGTCCAGAGACGATGAGGGACAAGTCCGCACTTCCTGCCAATCACACTCAATAAACGTGGAACTTTCATTTTGTTTTTGTGTCATTTTCTTTTCTCTGAAATCCGATTCCCTGAAAAGCAAAAACTTCCGAGTTCCAATGCGTCACTTCTCCGTCTCACTGTGCTGCCTGCCCCCCAAATCCCACCATTCATAGTGAGCTTTACATCCAGGACTCCCGCCAAACCCCATAGATATTGGTGGCCATTTCGGAAGGTGTTCCAGGATAACACAGGGGGAGGGGGTGGATGGCTTGGACTCTGGCCATTGTGTAGAGTCATTGATTGGTATGTAGCCTGTGGTCTGAGCAGCCAGCAGGGGCCCTTCATCACCTGGTTCCATTTTTTTTTATTCTTTAAGCTCTGTACCGTCCTGAAGTAGGACAAGGAGTACTTAGGTTGGTGTGAAGTGCTGGTAGCCCAGTGGGTAGGAGCTGTGACTGGTCTGCTGGAGACCTGAGTTCGAATCCCTGAGCAAGCCTTGTAGTCCTGGGTGCTGTGCAGTACCTGAGCCCCTTGTTGGTGGAACAGGGTAGTGGGGAATGTTTGAAACCCACTACTATATCCCACCAGCAGGGGGTTCAGGTACTGTGCAGTACCTGGGAGGTCACCTGGATATATATATATCTGGGGTGAGCCAAAAAAACCCTAAGTCCCTAAATTTTGAATGGGCCGTCCCGGTAAGACAGGCCCTTGTATTTATATATGTTGCAGTGATGTCACAGACTATGGACCGAAGAGGGGGTAGTCCACACTCTATTGTGATGCCACACATGTTACAGGCCTGTGGGGGCCTGGGACTGGAGCAGACTGGTGGGTTGTCCATGGCCTCCAAGCTTCCACTCAGTGATTCGAGCTCCGGTCTACGGTCCTTCCATCTCCTAGGGATTCCACCCACTTCACTGGGAGATCTGAGCTCGAGTTCACGGCGCTGTCACTGAGTGATGTCCGCACAATGCACTCAGAGACTTGACCTGGGGGCTACGGGAATCGAACTCGAGGCTTCTGGCGCCCTGGGTACTGCTCTTATCCACTGAGCTACTCGCCTCTGCTCAATGACTGATGGGTCTGATCTCCTATTGCAGGTTAAAACGTTCTTTCCGAGTAAAAAATTCAGAAAGGGAGAAGCCGGGATTCGATCCGGCAACGTCGAGGTCGGTGATCGCTTGTTAGTTGGCTGCTAATCCCCCTGAGCCAAAAAGGAGCTCTGTCTTGGGAGGTTTAGCAGCCGGCCCCATAACATCGAGGCCTCAAAAGTCAGGACTTAGTAAATAAAATGTGACTTATAGATGAGGATGTTTGGTCTGTGGGATACATATACGCTCCTACTCCGGGGAGTGAAAAGTGGGACTTACATTATTCTTTTCTTCTTCATTAGGTTCTGGCTCTGGGGCTAATAGTCACCTCATTGGACATTCATTGATTGGGACTCATGGTATTAGGAGGAGTGGGCTTAATGAGCAGCCTTAAATCTATGGTAGGCCATCATAGCTGATCCCAGAATTTGGGGGATGGGAGAGACTCATCGTTCTCATTAGACCATCATAGCTGATCCCAGAATTTGGGGGATGGGTGAGACTCATAGTTCTCATTAGACCATTATAGCTGATCCCAGAATTTGGGGGATGGGAGAGACTCATCGTTCTCATACATGTATTTCTATGACTGATTCTCGGTGCTGGAGGTCATATGTTCCTCTTAGGTTCAGTAGAGTAGATGATGACTTCCAGTGGAGCTCCGTCCCTTCTCATATGGGGCGAAGGCGCGGGGCTCATAGTAGACGGGATGTAGAGCTCCAGCAATAGATAATGAAGTTGAGGGAACTCATCTTTGATGACGGAGAGGAGGAGACACTCCGGTATTAATAATCTTCTCTCCAATGATCTAATCACAGCTTGAACACTTGTCTGTTTCTTGAATTCACTTCAGTGAACCAGTGACGGGGGAAACAAACTCTACAATTTGAGATCAAGAGAGCGAATGTGTGTGGGGGACCAGTGATGCGGGGTGGAAGAATATTGAAGACATTTGCCCAATTTGGACTCCAGTTCTTTCCCTTCCACCCCCACGTTATCACAGTTCTTCTCCTCGGAACTATTAATCCTCCAATACTCAGCCACTGATATGTAAGCTCTCCCATGTCAGGACCACTTCAAGGCCCCCGGATGGCTGATAACCTACCGGCAGCTACATTGAGATCTCCCATTGTCTCCATCAACTCGGCATAACAGCAAAATAATAAATGGCACCAACAATGAGGTTCAGCTCCCCAACACCAAGAA